GCTCGGGATTCACTCTAATCTATAGGCTCCGCGTTGGTGACAACACGAACAGTGCTGTAGCGCTGGCATGGAGGAGAGTTTGGGGCAGAATACGAAACCCATGGTTTAAACTGCAAACGATAAATGAAAACATGTAAATCTGAGGGACTCTCTTGCTCCAAAACCTTCTTGAATGCCATGCCAGCTCTACAAAGGAACATGCTAAAAAGCTGAGATGCGCCATCGCTTCCTTAATTGCTAAAAACGGAAAGACCTGCAGATTCTTATAGAAGCTGTCCACCCCAGAGTGGGCAGATCGAGTGGGTAGAAAACTCGCCCCCCTCCCCCCCCTGTTTCTGTCTTCCGTCAGCTGCTGCGCCCCCTGGCGGCTACCTCGGCCTCTCCTTCTTCAGCGCCTCTGCGGACTTGGGCCCCGTGAAGATGATCTCATGCCCCGCGTGGGGCCGGAGGTCGTCGGCTTTGTTGGACGTCACCTCTGGCCGCAGGGGTTCCTGGGGCTTCACGTTGCTATGACGACCCCGGGCACAACCCTGCGGGGGGAGGGGGGGGGTCAAAGGCCAGAGGAGAAATGAAGGGAAAGTCTGAATGCAGCAGCGACTGTCCGAGAGCATTCCTGGACCGGTCACCCTCAAACTGCTGCTAATGCAGACGCACGGGCGTGTTCCAGACTCCAGCTGTTGGTACTGTATTGCATGCAGGAAAGACACTCCCTGATCCAGCAACGTCTAGGTTTCTTACAGATGTCTGCTGTTGCAATATAGAAGAGTAGAAACCAGGACAACCGGGGCTCATCATTACCTTTATAGACAGGAACTCTGAAAAGTCAGTGGTCCTCTTCCTGCAGCACGACCAGCCCTGATGAGAAACAGATAAAACATTCAAGTTACTGAGGCAGTGGAGTACCGTCAAGGTTACTGTTGAGGGCTTTCGTTTCACTGGCGACACAAAGTCACCTTTACCCTAACAGATGTTTTCAATAGTGTCCTAAAGGTAAATTTGAAACATGTATAATAAAGATGTTAGAATTGATCCAGATACTCATTTGTTGCTTTTTATTTGCTACTCAGGATATATCTGTCTATGAGAACTGGACCAATGTATTTGATTTTTTAAATTTAAGCTGTGATGCCTCATGGCACAGTACAGACACATCGAGTTCCACACCACAGCGAGAGCCGGGGACTGAGGAAAAGCTGGTTTCTGGTGTGACACACGACTGAGGAGGAAATAGAAGATGGTAATCACACAGAGCTCCAAGCAGCAGCCTCTCAGGGCCCCGGTATCTTCAGACCCAGACGTGACTGAGCTCCCAGAGTCCTCCTAATCTCTAAAGCTATACATCACTCTGACTCACAGCCCAGTTCTCTGCATGTCCAGACCAGCGCCAGCCTTTTCTCCAACAATGTTCTGATGGAGACAAATGACTTTAGAGCATTTTTCCTTATTTTCTCTTCAAATCCAGCTGAGGTTTTTTTTTTAACATAAAAAAAAGGCAATCCAACGATTTATTTCTTCAAATGTTACTGGGCTATGTGCTCAATAAATAGGCGAAGGACTATCCACCCCTCACTGTGGCTGACAAGTGAGCTCAGTTCCTCTTTCAGTGTAGATGCACTACAGCAGAAGTGGTTGATGAGTCAGGACTGAATTACAGTTGAAAATAATTAGTCATTGATACTTCCCTCCAAAGTGACAGAAGCAGACTAAGGTGAGGGGTGGAGGATCTATACATCAGCAGTTACAGTAGTCACTTATTGAAGACTCATTGGTTTCACATCTCCCACAAAGCCTGGAGGTTAAACAAGTGAGTGACCCAAGCCCTTTATCATAATACCAACCACTGTCGGTGTGGTTCACATACTGATTGAACAAGAGAATGATGTGGTACTAACTGACGTTCGCTCACAGTGTTACAACTCCTGACTCTGGATTTCAAAAGAAATCCTCAGTTGTTTTTTTTTCTTGCAATAGCAGTCAGGATCGTCTTCAATAAGGGCCGAGCACTGAGACCTGTTCTTACCTTGGCGTAAGGCCGGAGATTTGAACCCACTGAGTACTGGATGTGTTGGGGGTGTCAAACTTACCTTCAGGGCATCATGGAATATAGGGACCCCAGGGTGATGGAGACACACATCTGTAGGGCATAGAGACAAGAGACCCGGTGAATAAGTGATGGGATTGTGCCACCCATTACAATTCAGCTGCTGGGTTTAACATGTTGTGGTAACGGTATACAGCATTATGATAGTTTGAAATGGCTATAGAAATTGTATTGCTGTTGAAGCCAATAACCCTGATTTCTCTCAAGACACAGCTTCAGATCAATTAGCTATTAACGTCATTTGGCCCTTCTAGAAGGATTGTTTTCTTATATATATATATCTTGTATAACACCGGAATAATCTCAAAAGTATTGCAATTATAACACTTGTAACTCTATGCCTGTGCTGGAAGCACTGATGCCCTTGCATCTGTAAAAAAAAAAGTTGTTTGTGATTAAAAGGCTTCTTTTGTGAATAACATGTCCCTGCGATTCTGTCATCATGCGTAGACCGCAGGTAGCTAGGAATCAAGTTTTGAGGAACAGAAAGGAAAGTCTTGCAGCTGCTGGAACAGGGGGCCGCGTGGGAATGAGAATCGTATCCGAGAGCTCTGCCAGCAGAAACAGGCAGAGGAAGACCAAGGAGAGGAAAACCTTTTCTCCCTCCAGTGCTGCTGTATGGTGCCTTATGCTCAGCTGAAATAAAGGCCCGATGATCGCTTCACCTCTGTGGCCCGGACTCGGATTCTTTCCCCAGTCTCCTGAGTAGGGGTTACCCTCCCCCTTCTGCTTTCAACACCTTACTTTGGGGGCAGAGCACGTGCGGGGTTTGGGGTTACTGCTAGGCCCAGGGCTGGGGTAGTGTGGGTGTAAAGGTGTCTGGGAGCAGTGAAAGGAACCCAGAGGTCTCCCGCTTGTCTTCAGCACACTGCCTGTCCCCCTTCTCTCTCTGAGCTGACCAGCTGGTCCCAGCTGTTCGCAAGAGCAGGTGGGACAGGCTTCCCGGAGTGATACTGACTCAGGCGACTGGGGACAACTGGCATGGACAGGACGACCTTATACAGCCCGGCACGTCACGGTAGCCCCCCTACAGCCCGCTCCTCTCTTCACTCCCAAAGATAAGCTCTCCGTCTTTGCCTGCCGATTTAACGGATGGTACACTCAGGACTTCTGTGCAGACTTCTCTCAGCGTGTTTCTCCCCCAGCTTCCAGAGAGTGTGTGCTCCTCTCGCGCTGCTGGAAGCAATAACGTATTTCACAGGCTCCCCGCAGGGCCCACGTCCTGCACATGACTCATTCCCCGACCGGGAAGATGGATCACAGCGTTTCCCTGACGGAATCGGAGAGTGAAATTCCCTTTGATATCATCAACCACGCTGAAAATATCACACAAAAAAGAAAAGCTTCCTAATATGACGAAAGGATTCTCTTCACCAAGCCACGTGAAAGGGTAGTTTATTAACGAGAGCGTACAGTTTGAAGTTCCAAGAACTCGCCTAAAAAAAAAGTTTGAGATCACAATCCACAATCCCTCACCACCCTGTTGCCCTAAAGGCACGCGCTGCCCAGCGGCACGGACAATCTGTGCCCCAAAACTACACGGTCCTGGACTAACTCCTGCTTGTGGGACTCAAAAGTCCGAAAGGCTTACCGTCCGAGTTGTCCTCTGGGTTAAACCTCTCCCCACAGCCCTTGTTGTAGCACAGGACGGCCATACTCTTCTCACAGGTGATCCACCTCGCTTCTGCAGTCTTCCTAGGGAGAGCAGCCCCGCGCCGGTTAAGAGCTCCTCTCCGAGCTTTTCCAGAAGTTTCTCCTGTGGGCCTGACAACACACGGAGTTCCCGAGGAACGTCTAGAAGCAGGAAGGACAGTGGTGCTCTCCCGTCAGAAGTCGGGGCGAGGAAAGCACTCCACAGGCCAGCTGAATGGAGGGTAAAAATAGACTCGCTCTCTCGCTCTCCCTACAGCTGTTGCGTTTTATCTAGAGGGAGAGACGTGCCTTCACTCCTAACTGGCACTCGAGGCAGGGGTGGGGGGAGGGAGAGTTTCACCGTCAGAGGAGCAAAGTTTCCAAGTCAGGTCTCTGCTGTGACCCTCAATCGCCAGGCTGGAGGTCCAGTCAGATCAGTGCCCCCCCCGTCGTGTTCGGTACCCACACTCATTCTAGCTGGGCTCTGTGCTTGACCCATCCTTCACTGAGCCCTCAAGCTGCCTGGTAAGAACCTCTGGAAAGAAAGGCTCGAGATTTCTTTTCAGTTACTTGAATGCAATTGTTAAAAGACAACCCCCTACATGTCTAGGAACCAAGCACAAAGAGTTCAAATTAAACCAAGTTCAATTATGGGAGTTATCAGCATAAAACCATAAACACCTCCGGGCCAGGATTGGTGCATGTCAGCGTCATAAGAGATTTTGAAAGGTATTGAGGTGACTCCAGAGGAAGCTTTTAAAAATTTAAGTCAAGAGTAGCCTTCAGGCGGGTTGCAGGTGGCTGCTGCTGTTTTGACTGGTTGGCTTTTGTGAGTTTCCGTCGCCAAATCGCACTTTTTACAAATACAGACAGAGCATTGCGGTCATTTACCTCTCCATCCCTGGTGCAAATGTATTCATTATTTTCAATAACGTCCAGTGTCATGTTAATTTACGTGAGAAATTGGCTGAAACTCCTAAGGCCCTGGACACAGCCGTTTAAATTCAGTAGTTACGTACATTTAAAAAAAACTTGCCATCTCTGAGGATCAGATTAATCTCCAACTTACAGGAAGTTATACTCTGCAGACTTGAGAACAGTTCAGTCACAGGATATCAACAGGACGTGAGGCTGTGGTGCCATTTTTCGTGCGATAGTTGCAGGTCAGGATTTATAATCTTGCTTGGCCTTTGAAATGGGATTGCAGCACGCAGGAAAATATTTTTTAAAAAGTGGTGTTTGGTAAACCATCAGCGACGAGGATGTAATAGAAACATTTCCAACTTTTCCCCCTCAGAGGGCTCCAGGAGGACTGTTATAGACACCGAGCGCTTTCTCTATGGCCGGGTGAGCTCTGAGCTGCGAGAGGCACAGCACTTCTGCGGATCTCCTCTGGGGGTTACCAGGAGCCTCCTGTGCCAGTGTGAGGTCTTCCCGCTATCCGGCTTCGCCGCTGCTGTGTTGCCATGGCGATGCCGTTCCCTCTGGGATCTTGGTGAGGCTGGGGGAGAGCTGCCAGGGGGGGACTGCCCTGAGGGCCAGGCACTTGGCTCTTCCCAGCCAGCACTGTGCACTTCCACCCCACAGCAGCAGGAAAGGAACAGCCTGACAGTAGGGCTGGGGCTTGGATAACACACTCGCATTTCCGACAGGTGTACCTCTCCTCCAGGGCTCTGAAATGGCAGCTGCCTACAAGTAGCTTCTAATCGTCCCTGCCTGTAGGAGCTCTGCAGAAGGGCTCTCTGATCCTAGTCCTGGGGGGGGGGGACACCTGTGAGGTACCAATCAATAACTCCAGTAATCTGCTCCCTCAGGACAACTCTGGTGCTTGAAGGCCGAAGAGCACTTTGATTTCAGTTCTAAATGATCTGTACTTTAATCAAGCACCTGCTTATCACACTGCAATAGAGGTAGAGGCCGGGCAGTAAATGGTCAACTTCAGCACCTGCCCCATCCTGCCTCTTGAGAGCCGGGGCTGGAGATCCTCGTTTTACATTTCCATTCAAAACTTACATTTTTCAGATCAAGAGGACTCAAAGGCAGGTTTTCAAACTATTCCAATGATGAACGTCAATTTTTAGCTGATTAGTGGGACTGTGTTTTATTTGGGGGGGAGGGGTCACAAAACACCTCCACAATTTTCCACTGTGTATTTTAAAAACTGCCCTTGGGCCATCGCTCCACTGGGGTTTCCAGGTTTTCCCATGGACGTCTGGTCTCACTCCAGATTTCAGAGGCTCGGAACTGGACTTAAAACAGTTCACATTACAGAAGGGTAGGAAAAAAAAATATTTATGCAATTATACTCACCAATACATGAAATTCCAGAATCAAATACATCCTTATTCAACGTTATGCCACTGTAAGTTATTACTTTTACTAGCTGTTTCTGTTAAATGTAAAAATGGTAACATGGACGTAGCCTGCCTTAATTAAAAATATAATCGGTGTCAAATGGAAATCCGCTGCCACTATGAAACTATCAATCCACTATCAATCCACTCCAACCCTTTACTAAACAAACCAGACATTAGAGGGAGAATACTTAAAACGTTGATGCTTATTTCATCTACAACAGGCACTGCTCCTCAGCGCAGAAACGCATTGGAAACGCACGCCTTCAGCCAGAGATCCATCGCCAAGCACAGAGCGGTCTCGCCCCTGCAAGAAGCGTGAAAGATCAACGAAAGGTCATGTTCTTATGTTTTTAAACAGGCCGTTACAACACATAACATGTCCTCAGCGCTTTGGAAGCTAAAGGTCGAGCCGGGTGAAAAGGGGGGAAAAAGGGCAAAGAGAGAAAGAAAGAAGACCGGTGATCTTTGATGATGGCTCGGTACGCGAGAGGCTGGAGAACTGGGCCGTCACGCAAGTGGGGAACCTACGAAGTTCGGCACCCTGTACCTCAACAGCAGTTGGTTTTCAGAGGCCACTGCACTACCGCTGACCCTGAGAGTCCGACACTTGTAAACAGTTACAAAGACAAAGAACAGGCAAACATCTCCCCCCCCCGCCCCATGCAAACACGTCATGCTGCCAGGCAACTTTTTGTGTGAAATTAAAGACATGGCCGGCAGTTAGCAACCATCGCTCCTGAAAGCGGCCAACAAACAAAACTGGCTTTGGCGACACGAGACTTACAAGGAAGAAACGGCCTCTTCTCTTTGCTGAAGCTGGTCAGACTCCCAGACACCTCCCCTCCCCCCCAAAAAAACAAGTTTATTTTACCATTTCGTTTCCAAATAGGAAACGGATCCGAACTACACAAAACGGGCAAGCGCAGGGTCTTCTAATTGAGCGCCGATCTATCCCGACATGTACACCAATACCATTTTTAAAGGAGGTTCAACGCAGTAGGGTAAAATGAAAGTGAAAGTTCGAGATTCTCAAGCGCAGACTAGGGACACACAAGGTTCAGAGTGTTTGTAGAGCAAAGATGTGCTGGGAACCCCAGAGATCAGGTTATCTAGCTGCAGTGCAGAGAGGCTTGTACACATGACACGGGAAGTGAAACTCATCCATTATGGACTGGACTGTCCAGATGCCTTTTTCCTTCAAGTTCACCACCACTCATTTCCTCCTTCTGACTGCTCTCTTTCCGGAAACCTTTGAATTTGTTGCCGAGGAACATACAGGACACAGTGTTCAAGTAAATAACTAGGTTCCTTCCCCTTCTTCTTCTCCGTTATCACTGCCTATAGCACCAGGATTTCAATTTTCTAACATCGCTGCCGCTTCTGCCACAAGCGATCACTTTGTCTTCTTAGAAGTACAGGTTTCGGGTGGGATGCATCCCTGGATCCAGGACAGTCTTTGCACCATCGATTTGCTCAGCATCAATAGTACATATATTAATTTAAAACATTTGAAATTGGTGGAATTATAGTGAAAGCTCAGTGGCAACGGCCTTTCCCACCTCCAAGCCAAGGGCAACGAAACTCAGTTCTGGGGGGCAGATGTGTCTGTAGATTTTCGTTCTAATGCAGATGTTAACAACCGACATCCTCTCAGTTCTCTGAGGTGGGACAACCTATCTCCCCCCTGGCAGCGCTCCAGGCACGGTTCCTGCACGCCTCGGTGCTGCTCGGGAAGGCACCAGCGTCCCTTGAGGATTAGGACTCGGACGGTGCTGGGACATCACTGCAGATGAACCTGGCTCTTCCTGCACCCACTGTATTTTATCACCCACTGCCCTGCTGAACAGAGTGCACAGCCCTCGCTCGCAGAGCAGCCAGTGGGTGGAGCTACGGGAAGATGAAGGCACAAAGCTGGGAAGAGAATGCCAGTACAGCCCACCAGCGGCAAAGGCGAGAACCGACTGCGTTCTTATTTATACGCAGCTCGGTACCGACCGTCCTGAGCTCCACTGCAAGCAAGAAAGCAGAAAGGAAAATGAGCAGAAGGGGGGGAGGGTTCCCAACCAACGAC